ATGGAAAGCGCATTCTCATTTGAAAGGATGAAAAGGTGACTTTGCCTTCTGGGTTAATGTCTACATGAAAATAGCTTTGAAGGGAGTGAATGTGCCTTGTCTTTTTGCTAGTATAGTATAATGAATCATATCAAAGAAGAGTTGTTTGCAAAGTCTGAGACAAGATCAAAATGCCATTTTCCTCTGAAACTGCAGCATGTGTTTTGTAAAGAAATCTTAGTAATATCTAGCAGGGAAATTTCCAGTCTAGAAATAGACTCCACGATTTCCACTGAAATTGAAACCAAGAAAGAAGGGGTACCCAGGGAAAGGGTGTAATCATGAGGTTAGAGTGAGGGTTGGTGCCAGTCCTCCTATCTCGTCCTCATGAACGTTCTCCAGTAGTAGAATTAAAACGGCAAGTTACTCTAGCAGATGTTTTCAAATTAGCTAAAACCGTGTCATCAGAGTATAGCAGCAAAGCTGGAAATGTGCCCAGAGAGACCTTCCCACAAGCCGCCTGAGGGAGCCATTTAAATGTCTCAAAGCCCTCCTGGTGCAGAGATTCAGATGCAAGCCTAGGGAAATAAGCAAATCAGCACAATGCCTCCTCATCCAAAGGCTTATCCGTGGCTTCAGTAAGTTCACCACTCTGCTGAAAACCTAGCAAGATTGAGCAGTTCCAAATCACACACTTTGTGGTTTGCTGTTGTGTTGTTGCTTACAAATCTGACAAGAAAACATTGAGAGAAGATAGAGAAATTGTCAATGGCAACACATGAGCAAATCATTATAAAGAGAATATGGAAATGAACAGTTCAATTTCTGGCAAATTCTAGGAAGAGGGAGGAGAGTGCTTTGCATCTTCATAATCTATTCACAACACTGACACCTAGTTCACTACTAGATAGCAAATGGGACAATCACATCCCAGCTATGCTGGTTGCCTATCCAAGAAAAAGTCGAACCAAATATCTGTGGATATAGACTCCTACAGCTTCCTCTTGCATGAGCTGGTTTTCCTAAGTGGGATGTTACTTGTTACCCAGTAATCATTAACTCCTACAGGAGGGAGAAAATAATAAAGCAACCAGAAAAAATCTTCAGTCAATAAATGAAGAAGATTTCTCTATTTCTCACTTTTACAACAGCTATCTGTCACCTACTGTTTGCTAAAATAATGGATGGGAAATGGTTAGGTCAACACACCTCCTGTGCAATGTCGACCTCTGTACAATCAGACTAAAGTATGGAAGACATCAAAGGGATGTCATTCACCTTTTTAACTGCCTCATCTAACGGTCACACCCCATTTTTTCTTGTTCTCAATCACATGTTTAGCTCTGTAGGTGTGTGTTTTGCAGGGTTACAGAGAAAAATATAGCAAATATACAGTATACAGTATTGTAAAAGCTAAATAGACATGTCTTAGAAGCAAAGGAACTGGTACCTGGTATCTCATACAATCGGTTATCTGTGAGTGTCTAATAGATTAAAATGAATGTCAGAAGACTATTTCTAAATCCTCCTCTGTGGTAAAGCAATGTTTTAGACCTTCCGAGGGACAACATCTTTGGCAATCCCTGACAGACCACACAACTAGAGAAAGTCACCTTCATCAGGCAGTAACAAGAATCAAGCTACAAATTCTCATGATTAAAAAAAAAAAAAAAAAAACAGAAAAAAACATTTTTTGAGGGGCACTGTAGTTATTCCTTTCTGAAAATAGAGAACTAGTAGCACTTAGGATCTGAGGAAATAAAACAGCTCAAGACATGGGATGTCTTTGAACATCCAAGTGTTTCAGCAACAGCATAAAGATTTTTCTACAATGCTAGCAAAGTATTTTTTTCGTGATAGTGTTTCCTTAAAATAAAAAAATGTACAAAAAGACCAACACACTACAGAGATAGGTATAGATTATAAGTAGGAGAAGTGAGGATTGGAGAAACACATTTAGGTTTTGCAAAAGTCTTTTTAGCCTTCTTATTTCAATGGTGTTCCTGTAGCAGGGGAAATATAATTATCAATGGAAAAAGAGAAAAGAAGCAAAAGAACCTACAATTTTTATCATTTTCTTAATTTAAGAAAAGAGAGGTAAGTGTGATTTCTATAGAGATGAAATCTACAAAAAAAATCTTCTAATTGGATGCTTCCTAAAAGGAAACCAATTCTCTCTCCTCTGATAAACAGTGGAACAATTTGTGGGAATGATCATGAAGGTCATATGTGAATGTGAGTTGATCATAGAAATTTCACTATGGACATACACATTAGATAACATTTTACTGTTATTTCTGAATTTGAAATATTAAGTGAGATCAAAATCAAAACACAGAATTCTTTGTTTCTGAAAGAGTTGCTATTCAAAGAATATGGTATTCATCTCAATTAAGTTGTAGCTTAAATTATTACTTTGCTACATATTTTTAAAATAAGTATTCTGTAAAACAAGTTCCCTTCATCCAAGTTTTAATTTTAAAAAATCAATCTGTATTTATCAATCTAAATGGCTATATGGAACAAAGGCACACATATTTAATAGAGTTAACTCAAAGTGCATGCAGTTTCTAGTCCGAAATTGGGTTCAATAAGACACTTAAGTTTAGTAGAATTTAAAAAGTAGAACACCGCAATTAGTTTTAGGCTAATTCTCTATATGGGCTACATAATATTTTGGAAGGAAGGTCTTGTTTCCCTTTGCTTTCACTAATCACTAATATACTTTTATTGAATTTTTAGTCCTGGCAGAACAAAGTTTATGTAAAAGGAGAAATTACAGATGCGAAACCATGAAAATTCCCTCCTAGGGAAAACTCATATATTCATTATTTTCCCAAAGTACAGTTGCTTGCATGAGATTTAAGAAGCTTTGTCAGAAAATTATTTTGACATATTTAAAAGAATGTTAACCAGTTCATTTTGCCCATATTTATCTTGCCTTTAATTTTTGAGATAAAATATTCATTTGCAAACTAATCTTAGAATAAAATATAGAGGGAAATAGCTGTAAATTTTTAAAAAAATCTTTGTATGTAAGCACATTCTTTATTTATACAGGTAACTAACATTCTCTCTTAGTTTGTTAAAAATTCACAGAATTTTAGATCTGGAAGTAGGAATATTTCAAGGCACTAACTCCTCAAACAACTTTAAATTTAAGTACTAAATCCAAAGGAAATTAAGAACAGTACTATTGATACCCAATTGCCATGAACTTTCTTGTTTCATGCCAGAGTATGAATTTTCTGAACCAAAGGTAGCTTTTATAACTTAAACTTTTAATCTCATACATTTTATATAGACATATTCATTATTTCTTTACAGCCTTGAATTTCCCTTTAAAAACTTAAAGAAAACTTTATTCTCCTGGCATGAGATAAATTAGAATGTAAATTTCTTGCCTCCATGTCATTTCCGTTCAAGTTTTATTCAAGGAATAAAAAGCATTGCTTTATATGCAAAATGACCTAGGCCAATAGAAAGTCGCTTCCTGAACTGAAATAGTGCTATAAATAACAGTCAAAAGGCTGTTCCTTTTAGAACAGCTCTTTCAGGGTAAAAAATAATTTGCAGGATGTTTGCCTCAGGTCCTAAAATCGCTTTCCTAGTTCTAAGCATTTCTCATCTCAGTGTCTAACCTAGACTGATCTATCATAACCTTCTACGAAGACATTCACGAAGACCATAAAAGCTAAAGATCTGTCTTTAATTGGTACTTTTATTATATGTCTTTCCTCGTAATTCCGTAACTTCGCGTGTTATGGAAGGAGGCAGGGAGCAATATCCCTCCCACAACCGGGAGTCAGTCTCACTGTCAGGAGTAAGGAGTGAGGAGTCTCGCCCGGATTCACAGAAGACCTCACCACATCTCCCACCCAGCGTCCCGGTCCTCGCCGCCTGGCTACCTTCAGCCCCTTCCCCTCCAAACATCTTCCCCTCCCCTCTCCGGAAGAAAATTCCGCCCCGCCGCGTTCCGGCAGGAGGCAAGCCCTGCGGCCGGGGTGCGAGCGCGGCACTCGGACACAGGCACTCAGCGTCTCCGGCAGCTGAGCCGCGGGCCACCCCTTCCCACGGCCTCCCGGCGCCACCCAGCGAGGCGGGGACTGCGCGCCTTCCGCAAAGAGCGCGGCAGCGCGAGTCCTGAACGCCGGGTCTTCAGCGCCGCGGGCCCTCCGAAGGCGCCTCCCGCAGCTGCAGCCGCCCCTCAGGGAAAGTGCAATTTGTTACCTCGCTCTGCCCGGAGAGGTCTGTTTGGCCTCGGTTCCAACCCGGCGCATTCAATTCGCTGAATGTCGGGTCTCCCCGCCCGCCCCGCGATTCTCCGGGAATTGGTCTTGGCCGCGGGCAGGGGGCATTGTCCAGTGACATCCTCCTTGGACCCCGTTTCTTTCTTTCTTTCTTTCTTTCTTTCTCTCTCTCTCTCTCTCTCCCTCCTCCCCCCCATCTTTGTGTCTCTGTTTCTTTGGCTTTCTCTTACAAACGCACGGGGGAGTTGGTCCCTTTCCACAATCAATGCCAAAATGTCACCCGAAAACCAAGTGTAACAACTTGCTTTGCAAACAAACGACCCAGAAGCCTGCTGAGAAATCTCCTGCCGGGAGCACCCCGGTCCTCCCCTGCAAGGTGCATAGCGGGTCGGTGCGGGGGGGTGTGAATTTTGACCCGAGGACCTGACGGGGATGGAGGACCGGTGTTCTCACCCCCTCCCCCTTCCAGGACCCTGTCGCAATTAGAAATCCGGCTCCTGCCTGGGTTCCCGAGGGCAGCCGCGAGGACCGCACGGCTGAGGAGGACGCGCTCGCCGCCGAGATCTCAGGGTACCCAGAGGGCCCGGGAGTGCGCCCCGGGCGGCTGAAAGGATAGGCAGCGCGGGCTCGTGAGCCGGCGGCCGGGGGAGCCCAGCCCGCAGCCCCTCAGCGAACCAGAGAAGTGGCGTCCGCGCCGCAGGGCAGACAGCGGCCAGGAGCCACCCGCGCGCCACGACCGCCGCCGCCGCGCACGCCCCAGCCCGGCGTTACCTGGCCGCGTCCCGCAGTCCGGCCCTCGCTGGCTACGTCCGTCCGTTGGTCCCACGAGCCTCGGAGGGGGGACGAAAGGGTCGTCCCCGCGGCCGGGACCGGCTCTCAGCGAGGTGACGGGAAGGACTCGAGAGAGGAGCCGAGGCGGCGGCGGCGGCTGCTCGCGCCGCTGACGCTGCCGAAGCCCCGGGGCCGACGGTGTCCGCGAGGCCGTGTCCTCGCGATTGCGGCGCCCGGAGCGCAGCGCTCGCCTCTGGAGCGGAGGCTGAGCGCCGGGACGCGGCGGGCTGGGGCGGCGAGGCTGGGCTGGTCACCCGCCCCTGGGTGCATGTTAATACGGTGGGGAGGAGGAGTCCCGCTCTTCCTCCGCCCAACCACCGGAGCCGGCGGGCGGGCGGCAGCCGCGGCCGGGAGCCAGCCGCTCCCACCCGCCCCAGCTACTACGGCGCGGCGCGACCGCCGGCTCCGGCCCCAGCCCAGGCACGTGTGCCCAGGCCGCGGGGAGGAGCCGGCGCCTCCCGGAACGCGCTCCTGGCCTGCGGGTGCTGCCCGCTCAGTCTCTGGGTGGGAAGTGCGCTCGCCCCCGACCTAGGAGAAAGCCCAGTATCCCCGGGATGGAACAGAGGGGCGGCCACCCGCGAGTGGGCGTGACCCATTGGTTCCCTTGCGCAGCATCTTTGGAGAATTAAGCTTTCCCCTCCTCTCTTGCCAGCCGTTGTTCCTAATCTTGTCTTTTTAAGGGAGGAAAGCAGGAGAACTCTTGACATTTTGTATCAGAGGAAATCAAGTTGGCGGGCAGAGGGTTTGCTGACCTCTCCTGGCCCTCCTCAGGGTCCCTAGGAGAATGTTTGAAGAAGTAATCGCTAGCAAGGAGTTGGTGGCAATAGAAAGTCTCAGACTCGCAGGGACCCATGGTCGCACCCGGCGCCCTACTTTCAAACCGTTATCCCTCAGAGCCTGTTTCCTCACTTCCACAACAAATCTCCCGGGAGGCTGTGGGTTCGAAGACACAATATATATCCCACAGTTCATCTTGGCCAAGAGATAATTCGAAAAGCGAAACGAATCTCATCTCCTGACCTGTGCCCTCGGTAATTATACATCCCAGGATCCACCCCAAGTTCACTTAAAAGCCAGGCCGCTCCACACAGGTTGAGCCCCACGCCAACACAAACTGAAAACAGGGAGAATCTACTTTGTTTCAAAGTTAGAATAGGGATAGTGGCGTGAGTGGGTGAATTGCGATGTGGGTCAAGGAGAGAAAAAAATAAATCAATTAAGTATTTATTGAGCTCCTGCGCTGCCCACTTAATTGCAAGCGTTACAGTTAAAATAATCGTGGTTAATCACTGCCTTATTATTTCCGTCTATTCAAAAAAGAAATGGCATCTTCATGGAGAATGCCCTTTGTTCTACAGCTCCCTGAGGGAACATTATGCCAAAAAGTGTATAATCTTCTTTATGTAATTTTACCCACAAGTTATAGCATAAGATTTAGCATCTGTTTTGTGTGATGTCTAATTATAAATATTAATAGAATATCCTTTTAAAGACAGCACTTCTAAAAATGCAAGGAAGTGAAAAAGAGTTTTCATAAAAATGTGACTCAGATAAATAATGTCTTTCCTGCAATTTCACTGAGCGATTTTTCATTAAAGAAAATCACAATTACTGAAACCACTAAATGGAGGTAAATTCTCAGCATTGTAGTACCATGAGCACAAATGCTTTCACAATGATCTAAAAGATATTCTCTGACAATTCAATAATTACTCTAGGGACCAGGTGAGGTGGCTCACACCTCTAATCCCGGCACTTTGGGAGGCCAAGGCGGGCAGATCACTTGAGGTCAGGAGTTTGAGACCAGCCTGGCCAACATGGTGAAACCCTGCCGCTGCTAAAAATACAAAAATTAGCTGGACTTGGTGGTGGATGCCTGTAATCTCAGCTACTCCGGAGGCTGAGACAGGAGAATCATCTGAACTTGGAAGGTGGAGTTTGCAGTGAACAGAGATCATGCTGTTGCACTCCAGCCTGGGTGACAGAGCCAGATTCTGTCTTTAAAAAAAAAAAAAAAAAAAAAAAAAAAAAAAGAATTACTATAGGAACACTTATACTTCAAATCAGATTCCCTGAAATGGCAAAATACTGACATGTGATAATAGTCTTCATAATTTGGAAAATTTGCCTTTCCTAATTTGTAAATATGTTTAATTCATAGATTTTTCTTTTCTTATTTTTAAATTGATATATCATAGTTGTACATATTTTGTAGGGTATTCAGTAATTTCATACATATATACAATGTGTAATGATAAAATCAGGGTAATTAGGATATCCCTAACCTCAAACATTTATCTTTTCTTGGTGTTGGGAACGTTAGAATTCTCCTCTTCTAGCTGTTTTGAAATATACAATAAATTAAACTATATAGTTCCCTTACTGTACTATGGAATACTAAAGCTTATTCCTGGCATCTAACGGCATTTCATCCATAGATTTTTCCAATGACATCACATAAATAAGAAGGTCAATATAATTGTCAGGCCCTAACTCAAATTAGAGGAATTCAGTGTATAAAATTACTTCAAGTGGAAAATCAATTTTCTTACAAAATTGTTACAGTAGATTTAACCCAGTAACAATAAGATTGATGTACCACTGCTATTGTTAGGGTTTTCTGACTGTAGGCAACAGAAAAGGAATTTGGCTAACTTAAGTGAAAATAATTTATTGGAAAAATATTGAAAGCTTCCAGAATTAGAGGGCTGGAAGGCAGTCTTGGAAACAGGCAGGATTTGAGGCAATACTGATGGGCTAGGAAGCAGGGAAGACAGTAGTTTGGTTTGGTGCTGCACAGTCAACTTGAGTAAATGCCAAATTTTTCTCACCTTCCATTACTGAATCAAGATTCAAAATCACAGGATTGAGCCTTTATTTGCTTGGCCAGATTTCATAAAGGCACTGACTCCCTGGCTGTAAATACCAGGACAGGAAGAGGAAACATTTGATTCCTTGACTTTCAGGATGGAGGGTGGGCACCTGGTTTTATGACACTTCCACAAGAATGCATAATTGAAGATAGGTAGTTCCTCAACATAAAATCAGGGAGTGATGAATAAGGTGATGAATAAGGAGGATTTGATGCTGAGATTTATTTTATTTATTTATTTTTTTTGAGACGAGAGTCTCACTGCATCGCCAGGTGCCAGGCTGGAGTGCAGTGGGACAATCTCGACTCACTGCAACCTCCGCCTCCTGGGTTCAAGCCATTCTCCTGCCTCAGCCTTCTGAATAGCTGGGACTACAGGCACACACCACCATGTCCAGCTAATTTTTATATTTTTAGTAGAGATGGGGTTTCCCCATGTTGGCCAGGATGGTCTCGATCTCTTGACTTCATGATCCGCCCACCTCGGCCTCCCAAAGTTTTGGGATTACAGGCGTGAGCCACCCTGGGCATGCTGAGATTTCTTAAAAATGATAAATGTCTGGTACTTTAGCTATAAAATTTACATTGTAATCCTTACAGTGACTTGGAAACAAACAATAATATTGTGTAACGAAAACCGATAGCGCTTCTTTTCGTTGTTCTCATTAATATGCTTTAGTTAAGAGATTTTTTTAAATGCCGTTTACATATTCTATGGCTGGTTACCTTATTGGCATTCTCATAACACCTGTAGGCACTACTGCAAGCCACAGCTTGTCAGCTATATTCATTTGATCACTGAATAATGGCCATGGAGGTATGTCCAAGTTCTAATTCTTGTTGGTCCCTTACCTGGCAAAGGGAACTTTGCAGATATAATTAAAGATCCCGCAATGGGAAGATTATCCTAGTTTTCCCAGTTACCCCAGTTGGCCCAATTGTAAACACAAGGTACTTACAGGAAGAAGTCGAGAAAGTCAAAGGCAGAAGAAAAAGATGGGATTATGGAAACAGAGGTTGAAATCGTGCACTTTGAAGATGGAAGAAGGTGGTCATCAACAAAAGAATATGGTGGTCTCTGGAAACTAGAAAAGGTAAGAAAAGAATTCTCCTCCAGAGTCTTCCAAAAGGAACACTGGTCTGCTAACATCTTGATTTTAGCCCAGTTAAACTGGTTTTAGACTTCTGACTTCCAGAGCTCTAAGATTTAAAAAATTGTGTTGTTTTAAGCCATCAAGTCTGTACTAATTTGTATCAGCAGCCACAGGAAACTAATACAGACAGCTTATCCAGCCCTTGGGAGCATGCTTTCAAAAGCACACTATTGGTAGTTGGTGGCATGATAGCCCTCACTGTAGAAGCAGCACAGAAAAGTATACCTACTTTTGGAGAAGCTAACTCAAAGCTGGTTAAGTTCACAAACAAGTTGGTGAGAATAGAAAATTGAAAACTGTGGACAGATGGGGTTCCTATCCAGGAGTTTCCAGTTCTCCAGTTACATCAAAATGACGGCATTCCTTCTAGACCACAAAACTGTCAAACAGGTAAAATCCAAATAAAATGAAGCATAGAGAGTAAGGGAATGGCCCTGGAATAGGGGCTGTGGTGGTCCATGGGGTTGGCAGCAGTTCCTGCACGGCTGACTAGAAACTACTAAAGTTCCTGGGGAAGCAAAGTAGAATTTCATGAGAACAAAATGGATGGAGAGGAGAAAACCTATGGTGGCTGTGAAGGCCCTGATGCCATGCATGTCAAATTGATATCATCTTATGACCATGAATTTATTGTAAAAAGAGACCACGTATTAACATCAGCCATGATAAAAGCCATATTGATTGGCCCAGGTCAATTTGCTGAGAATGAAATCAATGAGGTCGGTTTTAGAGAGACACCTTTACATGTGCTATCAAAAGAATGCATATATTTTAAAGTGAAGTGTAGTTGTGAAAGAAGAAAGAACTCAAAGGGCATTTTGAATGGTAAATGTGAAAGACATAAATTTATTCTGTATTAATAGAGCATTCTTATCCATTCCCATGGTTTTAAGTAACATTAAAATAGTGATGACTTCTACATCCTATCTTCAGCCTTGACCTCTAAATTCAGTTTAAGATTTGTAAATCCAAAGGCCCACTAGACAAATCTTCCTGAAATTTCTACAGTTATCTCAAACTTAATTGGTCTGCATTAAATTCATTATCATCTGCCTTTCACTTCCATTCAAATTTATTTCATTTCCTGTTACACTATATGGATTCATGGCACTATCATCCACCAAGTCACTAACAACAGACACCTGTGAGTTTTCTTAGACTTCTGGACTTACCAATAACCTTCATTCTATCACTAAATGCTGTTGACTTCTCCCCCTAAATGAATAGGTCTTGGATCCTTTGTCGATTTCTATTTCTATTATATGGCCCCATCAGGCCTTCAGCGTCTCACCTCCAGGTTATTATACCGTCCTCCTAACTTCTTTCCATTTCCTCAGTTTTACCTTCTCTTCATTGCCGCAGGAGTGGTCTTCTAAAAATGCAACTCTGACCATGTTGCTTTGGTGCTTTAAAATCTTTAATAATGACCATTATTAACCATGTAAAGTTTATTTCCTTACAATGACATAGAAAGTTCTTCATGAACGTGGCTCCACCTTCTTCAGCCTTTCCTCCCGTGATTTGAACATTATGCCTTAGTGCATCAAACTGCTGTTTATAAAACCATTTATGTATTGTGCTCTGTAATACATCTGTAGCTTTTTCATACTTTATTCTCTGTCTTCAGTGCCCTCTCTCTGCTTTTTCTGGTTATTATTTATTGATCCTTCAAGGTGGGCTTCAGTATACCTTTTGCCTAAAATATTAGGTTGGATTAAGTGTTTCCAATGCTTGCTGCACCTATCACTATCTTAGTTTCTACCACATTCTATTACAATTTTCAGGTTATCTAGGTTATGTTTTTGAGACTTTAGCTACCCCATTTTGATTCCCAATGCCTAGCATAGTAAACATCTCTCAACAAATAATCAATACGTATTTGTGAAACTCAATTGACCTGAACCTGTGAGACTATATTGTGGTGTCAGGATATATCCTATCATTTAATAGAAACATGCGTATGATATAATATAACAGGTATCCAAATTTTAAAATCCATCCCTCATCAGGTTTAGTAAATGAGGAACTTTCTTTTTCATGCTAAACAAAAACAAATAAAAAAATTGAAAAAAGATGTTTGTAAACACCCTGGCTAGTTTTTCTTTATAATAGACAATCCAGTGAAATGAAAGGATTTTAACCTTGAATTCTTTTCACTAAATGTTTTGCTTTATATTTTATTTAACAGTTTTCATTAAAGTTGTAAATATTAGAATACAATGGACTTAGCTTCTGTTTTACCCCTTCTTTTATTCCCTGACATTCTTTTAAAAGTTAGTTTTTAAATTGATACATAATAATTTTACGTGTTTATGGAGTATGGTGTGATGTTTTAGTACATGTGTATGCATTGTATAATTATCGAGTCGGAGTATTTAGCATGTCTATCACTTCAGATATTTATCATTTCTTTAAAATGAGACCATTCAAAATGCTCTCTTCTAGCTATTTGTAAATATAAAAAACAATACTGTTAACCATAGTCATTCTACTGTGCAATAAAGCACCAGACAGTGTTTGTTGATTAATCTACACGTGCTGTTTCCTCTTCTTGTCTTCATCCCCTCTCCCTCATTTATTCTTCTACTCAATGTCATATGGCTTGAGCCTTGCACATTGCAATTTGGCTTTGTTCTGATAAAAGACGTCTAATTTTCTCAACAAAAAGATCCAGTGTAATTCCTATTTCTTTGATCTCTAAGTAAAATTTTAGGCTATTGACAACTGATTTTTTTTAAATTCCACCAGAGTCTTCCATATCTTCACTCTGGCCTATTTGTTTTCTACTCCTTTGCCCTCAGGTTTTCCTATTACCCTTCCTAAGTTGCAATTTTCATGCCCCCAAGATGGTAGCTGAGGGATGACATCTCTCAAGAGAAAGAGCCTGCGATCAGGATCTCAGAGAATCTCTACCATGCCTACTACTGGTCAATGAAGACGAGCCCCAAACCACACAGGTAGGAGGAAACCCAGGAAACAGTACTACAAAAACCAAGGAATGGAAGAATTTCAGGAGATGAGACTGGTCGATGCTGAATTTCAAACCGACATTTTTGCACGCATAATGTCTCCAACCAGAAAGATCTGTATAGTGCTCACAAATTCATCATCACAAACCAAACAGGTCATCTTCCTTCCAGTCAGTCTTTCCACACTGGTGATTGTTGATTCCACCACATACCCAGACACTGAAGCCAGAAATATTAATATTAAAGTCATTCTGTATCTCTTTCTACCATATTATCACTACATCTCGGCCCCAAGTTTTATCAGACTCCTAAAACAATAAGCTGTCTGTTTTAGTCCACTGCTTAAATTTTTTTTCAGAAGGCTTCAAGATAAAATTGAAAACAATAGGTATGACATGTAAGCCATTCACAATCTGACTTTTCCTTCATTAAATTATCAAATTAATTCATATGAGTGGAGTGACTTTTCACATTTTGAAATACTGTTGAAATAATTTTAACAGGTTGGAAATAACTATTTGTGGTGAAAAACAAATACAAAGAAATCAAGAATAGTAAGCACAGAAAAGAAAATACATACATTCATTTTTAGTAGGAACTACTGATACTACATGACCTTGGATCAATTATCTTCCAGCATAGTGGTAAAAGGAGGGGGGATCAGCATATCTCAATAACTAACAAAAATTAACATATTATTTTATAAATTTTGAGAAGAGATATACTCCAGATTTTTATGTCTGGAAATACCATATTTAAGAGTTCACCTCCAAGCATTTTAATTTTACCCTTCAAGACATTTCACCCTTTCAAAAAATTTCTTGTAATTATGTAGTATTCTAATTTCTCCAGATACATAAATGTTCTTGACAGACTATATTAGGTAAAATTGTTTTAAAAGAAATAACAAGATTAGGATTTGACCTTTAATTTCACATGCAATATATCTAGTTAGGTAAAAGAGTAATTTATTTTTATTATTAATCTTCTTTCATATTGCACTAAATTTGACTGCCCATCTTTTTTGAAATCCAGTTCACATTTAAGTTTTTTATATAACATAGACATATTATGGATCTGTCAGGGAGAAATGCCGTGTTAAACATGACTGTCATTAAAGAGAATCTAGATTAAAGGAGTCACTAGAATGACCTGAATTAACATAAATCAGTAGCTTAACCAGCAAGGAGTATGCACACTTGTGTAGAATCTTATTTTGTTTTCATTGTTGTATACAGTGGATTTAAAAGGAAAACACCTTTCTTTTTGTGTAGTTCAGGGAAAATCAGCAGTGAATATCCAGTGATTGCATGAATAACTGATGAGTTATACACAAAGAATTCTGTGAATAGTCACATTCTTCCAAGAATCAGATTCTTTAGATACAAATTTGTCGGAAGATATAATGTATTCAATTCTGAGAAGCATAGCTCCTAGACATGTGTTATTGACATTGATATACCCATATTAATACATTTTAAGATACATTTTTTTTAAAAGATGTGTATATATTTATGTTTGGGTCACTAGAAAGACTGAGATGGATTTCTTAGAATTATTTAAGACATTCTGTTTCTAATATTCATTCTTTCAAATTAATCATAGTCTGCTTTGACTCTTTGATATTAAAAGGCTTGCAGGGAAACAAACAAAACATGCCTCTATCCCTAAGAATTATCCACTTGAAAGTATAAATTAATGAAATAATATTGGTGAAATGCATCGTTCAAGTCTTGTGGAAAAGTTGGCATTCAAGAAATGGTAGCTGCTGCTGATGTTCACAATGGTGATAATTACTACAGTCTTGTAAGCATTAGCATTCAGAGTGATCACATATATGATAAGACTTCATATGCCAGCAATCAGAGCTCTCTGGAATATAGCCCCAGCATAGGCTCTACACTCCACATGGATATTACTAAGGCTACACACTGAAGCTCATCTGAGTGTTCCTTTGACCTTCACTCTTAATTTACACAGAGAATGTGGCAGAAGCATGCTAGCTGTGCACCAAAACTTAATTTCTACTGCCAGTGCACAGAGCAAATCTGCTTTCTCAAACTACCCAACAATTATGAGCATAGGACTGTGTTCTAGTGAAGTGAATATAGGCAGAAATTATGTCTGTCACTTCCCAGTCTGCCACAGAAACTGCTTACAATATCCTCCATTACCTCTCTCCCCATGGGTAGTTGGAGTGTGTCTTGCATTGGAAATGGCAGAAACCCCAAAACCATACATCTTCCCAGTTGGATATTTTATTATTATCCATTGTATTTATTGATTGAGATTTTGGGGTTTATCAGCACAGAGCTAGTGTCAATTTATCTCATACAATGAAGAAGTAAATGAAAAAAATTTGGAGTGTCTACTGTGTACTAGACATTTTGTATACAATATTTTATTTATCCTCTCAACCAAGGCTTTGAACTGGCCATTGATAGTTTCATTTAATGATGAGGAAACTTGCTTGAGTTCAATAAGTGTTCTGGGATCCGCAGCCAGTGAGTGGCAGTGTCAAAATCTGAACCTGAGTTTGGCCTCAGAGCTTGTAGTTTCACAACACATCTTTCTCTAACTTAAGTCAACTTTGGTTGACTTAACAACTGAGTAACAGTTCTCTTTCTATACCAGCTTTAAAGCAATAATTCAAGAAACATGTATTTTGATATTTGAAATAATAGACCACAAATAAATCTTAAAAAGCTGAAACAAAGTTGCACAAACCGTGGAATAGAAGCCCAGGGGCATTTGTGTGGGTAAACAGTGCTAATTAACTTTAGAGATGCTGACATTATCTGTACATTATGGCCCTAAAATGTGGTTAACATACTACTGATTATTTTGCATTAGTAAGAAAAAGACAATTTTATTTGTGCACAATGTTTAAATGACAGAGACCTGTGCAATTTTATTAAACAGTTTTGTTGAAATATTGATGGACAATAAACCAAATGTATTAAACTGTATGATATAAATTCTGATACATATGCATATGTGTAAATAAATATGTGTATATATATATTTGATGCATATGTATATATACAGGTGAGTATATATATGTGTGTGTATACACACAGACATGAACACACAGTGATGGAACCATCACTACAATAAAGATAATGAACACATCTATTACCTCCTGAATTTCCCTCTCCCTGTTTACCTCCCTCTTATCCGTTTCCAAACTCTCCCTTTCCCTGCAAACTCCATTCTGCCTCTTATCACTACAGATTATTTTATAAAATGTTTGTATAAATGGTATCATACAGTGTACTATTTTTCTCTCTAGCCTGTTTCACTCAACATGATGCAAGGGTCATCCACGTTGTGTGTATTGAAATTGATAATTCACTTCTTTTGGTTGTTGAGTCTTTTTCCAGTTTTTAGCTATAAGAAAATATGCTTTCATGAGCATTTGGGTGTAAGCGATTTTTTTTAATGGATATCTGTTTTTATTTTTCTAAGACAAATACCCAGGAGAGTGAATGCTCAGTCATATGGTAAGTGTGTGTTGAATTTTTAAGAAACTGCCATATTTCCAATGTATCTTGATCGGTTTTTGTTCACACAATGAGCATATGACCATTCAAGTTCCTCCATATCCTCACTAATATTTGGTGTGCTGAATCTTTTTTAGACATTCTAATAAGTGTGTACAGGTATCTCCTTGTCATTTTAATTTGCATTTACCTAATGACTAATGATGATGGGCATGTTTTTATGTGCCTATTTGCCACTCACACATCTTTAGTGAAGTATCTGTTTAAAAGTTTTGCATATTTTTAATGGGCTGTTTTATTTTTATTGAGTTTTGAGAGTGTTTTGTATATTGAATACAAGTCTTTTATTAGCTTTGTTACTTGCAAATATTTTCTCCCAGACTCTGGCTTGTCTTTTCATTCTCTAAACAGCATCTTTCTAAGAGCAGAAGTCCTTATTTTTTATGAAATACGATTTGCTATTTTCTTTATTTATAGATTACACACTTTGTGTTTTGTGTCTAAGAAATATTTGCTTAAATCACAGTCACAAAGATTTTCTTCTTTTGTTTTCAAGAAGTCTTACAGATTTATGTTTCGTGTTATATCTATGATCTGTTTTGAGTTTATATTTATATATCTTGTGAGGATCCAATTTTATTTTTTGCATGTAGGTATGTAATTGTTTCAGCACTGTTTGTTGAACATATGATCTTTTTCCACTGGACTATCTTTGCAAGTGAAAAAAAAATCAATCTATTGTGTGTGTGTAGGTCTATTTCTGGATTCTAAATTCTGTCTGTTCCATTGAATTCTTTGTACTCTTTATGTCAATACCACACTACTTTGATTACTATGCCTTTACCATGAGTCTTGAAGTCAGGTTGTATAAGTCCTCCAACTTTGCTCATTTTTTCATAGATATTTTGTTATTCTTGGTCTTTTGTATTTTTGTATGTCTTTTAGAGTCACAGTGTCAAATTCTAAAATACATAAATAAAAGACTGTGGGATTTCAATTGGAATTTTTTGGAATCTAAAGATCAACTTGGGGAGAAATGTTACCTAACATAAACATGGTATATTTTTGCCATTTTTAGGTATTTAATTCATCTCAGCAACATATTGTGGTTTTCAGTACATGAATACTGCACAGCTGTTGTGAGAGTTATCTGAAGAATTTTGTATTTGTGATGCTATTATAAATAGTATTATTTCAATCAATTTCTAATTGTTCACTAAAAGTATATGGCAAAAATGATATTTGTGTACTTATATTTTATCAAATGTGCTAATCTTACTCATCTTAGTAGTTTTTTGTACATGTCACAGGATTTCCTACATAGACAACAATGCCATCTGTAAATAAATGGCTTCACTTCTACAACTTTGATGGCTTTTGTTCTATTTTTCTTGTCTATGCTCCTGGCTAGAAAATCTAGTGCAGTATTCAATAGTAGTGATCATAGCAGTCATCCTTGAAATGTTTCTGAACTTAGTAGGGATACATTTGTACTTTCACCATTGATTATGGTATTATGGTACTTTCAAAATGCACTTTATCAGGTTGAGAAGTTTTCTTTTCTTTTTTGAAAACTTCAACTCTTATTTTAGATTCAGGGGATACCTGTACAGGTTTGTTACAAGGGTATATTGTGTGATGCTGTGGTTTGGTGTACAATGGAATCCATTACCTAGGTAGTGAGCATTGTACCCAGTGGGTGATTTTTTCAGCCTT